GAGAATGGCCAGACTTCATCTCACCTACTTTGGTCATTTTATTAGAAAGGACCATTCCCTGGAGAAGGATGTCATGCTTGGTAAGTTGAGGGTCGACGAAAGAGGGGAAGTGCCTCAACGAGATGGATTGACACAGTGGCTGCGGCGATGGGCTCAAGTATAGCAAGGATCTCCGAGCTGGTGCGGAACCGGGCGGTGTTTTATTCTGCTGTGCGTTAGGGTCGCTGTGAGTCAGAGACAACTCGAGGGCAACTAAAAACAACAACGTTATAAAATGGGCATTAGGAGGTGCTCTCTCCAAAGGTAGTATCACAAGATAAAGAAAACCAGTGAAACAAACCGTTGTGTTCTGAAAAGATTCATAATATTAATAAAATGTTTCTAGACTGATTAAGGAAAAAGAAGGCACATACTAATATTGGGAGTCAGAGGGCCTTTCACTATAAATGTTACAGAAACTAAAGAGATGATTAAGGGATATTGTGAACAACTTTATGCCAATAGATTTGACAACTTCGATAAAATATACAAATTCCTGGAAAGACTCAAATTGCCAAAATTGAAGCACATAAGAAATAGAAAATCTGAATAACCCTGTACCTATTAAAGTGAATTCAAAATTAAAAACCTTACCACAAAAACATCTCCAGTCCCAGATGGTTTCATTTAGGAACTCTATCAAACCATCAAGGAAGACATAATACTAATTTCACGCAGACTCTTTCAGAAAATAGTGACTAAGTAATACTCCCTAGATTATTGAGGCTAGTATTACCCCAATATCAAAGCCAGAGAGCTGGTAGCATACTCTGTGTACTCTTCTCCATCTATCTATTTCCACTAACAGTATTTTGAAGTTTGTTCTTTATCAATTCATTAAAAAATTTCTCATTCTTTTTCATTTAGGAAAAAAACAAAAAGGAATGAGAAATTTATTTTACTTTATTTTGATATAATTTCAAACTTAAACATCCATTAGTGTAAGGAACCCCTACTTACCTCAGATTCACCACCTGTTTATAATTTGCTTTGTTATACCAGTATTTGAAATTAATATCCACCTTTTTCTGTAGCTCCTGAGAAAAGTTGATTAACCCTTACTAAACTCTAAAACTCACTGCCATCAAGTCAATTCTGACTCACAGCAACCCTCACTGGGTATCCAAGGCTGTAAATCTTTGTGGAAGCGGACTGCCTTCCGCAGAGCAGCTGATAGTTTGAACCTACAGTCTTTCTGATAGCAGCCAAATGCCTTAACCACTACCCCACCAGAGCTCCTTAACTCTTACTAAGGACAATTCAGAAGCCCCAAAACAAGGTGATCTCTATGTCAGAGTCTTCTTAGCTCTAACATTCTGTATACCTAGAGAGTGACAGAGCAAAAGCATTCAACAGACTCATTTTAAAAGACCACCAAACAAGAGCACTATCACTGGGTTTATTTCATTCTGAGGGAATGGAATTTGGTGTACAAGCATTTTATTCCATACAATATTATGTATTTGACTTATTTTGAATTTTTATTTTTAATAGAAAAATCCCACACTGTTACATTTATATCAGATGTTAACAAATTGTTAATGATGGCTCTTGCTGATAGTTAAATTCTAAGGACAGTTCTCCACACTCCTGAAGAATCATGGGAGTATATGATTCAACTTAAGTTCATTTTACATCAGCTTTTGAGATAATGTTCTTTAAAACAAAATAGATCTATATCCCCTGAAGTCTTCTTGAAACCAAACAATTGTTTAAGCTTAACCAGTAAAGAATATCTGCTACAAGCATTGTATTCTTTTAAGAACTATCTATGGGGGATCAAACTGACAAAAGCAACTCAAAAGACTGGAGAGGAAATTTAGGAGGCAGTGAGTTTATATCAGTGGGGAAGAACAATTTGGAAAAGAAGAGTGAGAATGATTATATACAACTTAAAAAATGTTATCAATGTTACTGAACTGTTCATGTTGAAATTGTTGAATTGGTGTATGTTCTGCCGTGAAAAAATTATTTTAAAAAAACACATGAGGCAGATAGAGCTCTCTATATATATTTAATGCAGTACCGTTTTAGATATTAACCAATCAGAAAAAAGATCAGAACAAAATGAAGAAACCCTAAGGTTCATGTGGGATACCATCAAAAGGAATAACCCTTTTGGGGGAAATTGAAATTCCAGAACAGGAAGAGACAAAAAAAAAAAAAAAAAAAAAAAAAACAGAAAATTGTCGAAGATTTGTTGGAAGAGAATTTCCCTGAAATGATGAAAGATGAGAATATATCCATTCAAGAAGTCCAACAAACCCCAAACAGGATAGAACCCAAAAGAAAAACACCAAGATACATCATCATCAAACTCATCAAAACCAAAGACAAAGAAAGAATCCTGAAAGCAGCACAGGAAAAACGAAAAGTTACCTACAAAGGGCAACCAATAAGACTAAGCTCTGATTTCTTGACAGAAACCTTGCAGGCGAGAAGGCAATGGGATGGTATATATATTTCAGATGTTAAAAGCACATTTCCCTGGAGCAGCCTAAACACCCTTCCGTGTGTTACCAATGATCAACTTGGCATTTAGGGTACAGAGAGCAGATAGGACTTTTATTAAGCTCTCTAAATGGTTCTGATGCACAGCTGTTTTGAGAATCACTGACCTATCCTTATGGGTCTTGAGAAAGCAGTTTAATGAATACCTTCAGAATGCTTAGGAGAGTAGTCTCTCATACCAAGAAATTTTCCAGTTTCCTATAAGATGTGTCTGTGAAAAGGAATTGTTTGGAAACCAGAAATTTAAATGGTATTTTACTAACTAAAAATACTGGTGTGTTACAGTGAATGCATATTTATTACTTAGCATTTGTCTTCCATGTATCTTAACAAAAGACATTTTTTGTTTTGCTTTTTCCCTTCCTTCCCATCCAGGCCAGTCAGTTGGGGGAGCTTTTTCAAGTGCAAAGACAGCCATGTCTTCTTGGCTTTCTACTTTTACCAACACCCCCCCTCAAAGTCTCACTGAGCCACCTGATGGGAAGCCCTGAGCAAGGAGTCCAGAGACCGCTGCTTTCTTGAGTTTAAGTGTTCCCTTTCCGTCTGCTGCTCCCAGTCTGCTCCTCGTCACCAGTCACAGGTCCACAGCAGGGGACCGAAATGTCGACCTGTTTACACGAACGGTTGCACTCTGTCCAAATGAATGTCACAGGATACTGAAAGATGAAATCACAACCATTGCAGGGTTGGTTTCCAGGTTGGGGTTTGAAGTGACTACTTTTATTTCAGTCTGAGCCTGATTAAAACACTCAAGGAAATGAACCTTGTAAGGAATTTTGAGTTCTGATTTTGTGCTGATTGTTTACTTTAGAAAAGTTTTTACTTATGTAAATTTTGTTCTGTTTCACTGTTTGAATATCCAGATGGTCACTGTAATTTATATTTGCTAAAACTAAGTTATGTTACTATTTGAATTTCTCTAAAGTTGGCCCTAACATGTGCTTATAAAGTTAAGGGGCCACAAAGCTCACCCTTTGTTGTTATTTTGCTGAGTTGTGTAATAAGCTTATTGGTTTGCTACTTACAAAACACGTTTATCATTTCATTTCTTCCCAGAAACGTGAAAGTCAAAGGTGATAGTCCTTAGGTTAACTAGTTCCCTCCAAATCCTTAAAAACTTACTATGAGGCATCAAGGAATGTCACCATGCTTTCTTTCTTGTCCTAATTGTGCAAGTAGCTGTGCAGAGAAATAGCATAGTGATGGTAATAATGATGTTCACACAGTTTAACGTGAATCTGTATATAGGGCAATATTTTAAAAGATCTGTATGTAGGTTTTGTCACCTTTAGTCATGTCACAATCTTTTACAAGCATTTTTTATTCAAAAGTGTGTGCCTTCTAATTTCTTCTTTTGAACAGTTTTCCATTGGGTGTTTACAGAGCTACAAGTTTTCTCATAGTCTTATTCTTCATGAAGTTTTTCAAGGTACTTGGCCTTCCTCTTCCCCTGACTGAAAGTCCCCTGTAATCAATCCCTACCCCCACCCCTACAAGTATGTATAAAAGAAAAGCAAGACGATCCATAAATATTACACAGAAATCCCATTTTAGCTCAGATTTAGAAAAGCAAGAGGAATGAGAAGAAAACTACAGTCTACTGATGATTTTACACAGCTGGGCCTCTGTGCTGCCATGCTGAGCTGCGTTTGCTTTTCAAGGGACCTTGGATGAGTGTTCTCAGGGAATGCTAAGGGGGACAGACTGCCTTTTCAGTAACAAAGGGTACTTGGAGAATTCATTGTGAGTATAATCTACATAGGCTATAAAAAGTATTGTGAGAATGAGGGGTCGAATTAAGAAAGACACTGATTATACTGTATTTATCCCCTATGAAATGTTTCTATTCTATCAGAAGCAAATCCTCTTGGGGCATGTGAAAGGGACACAGGGACTTAATCTAAAGATCCCTAAAATTTCCAGTTTGTGGTTCAACACTGTAGCAAATCTAGAAGCTTACTTCTATATGTGCATAGTAACTCAAAAATTCAGTGATGATAAATTAACAGACTTAATGTGAGAATTCCATTAACTCCACTTCTGCTAGGAAAGTTAACCTTCTCAGGAAATACCATTTGAAGAAGAGAAAGTAATATCAAACAAAACCTTGAAAGTTACTTTAATCAGTATTATACTAAAACTATAAAGAATTCATTCTAACATCTTACTGTTTCATGAGGCCGTGTCATCAGTTGGAATGTGAAGAATGTATTAGTGTGCACTTGTTACCTTCCAACTCCCAGAAGTTCACGGAGCTAGGAGTGCTGAGAAGGGTTAGCAACAAGCTGCTGCTCTGTCCTTTTGTTTCTATGGTTTTATGATTGAGTAAACGCTGTCTCTCACTTTAAAAGCCATGCTTTGGAATCCCACTGAAATAAAAATAATTACATGCAATTTAGCTAGACTGTAGTACCACTTGTTCCCCCATTTGAACATACACCTTAATGCAACTTTCTCTTAATATTTCTAGTGAAGAGTTTACCTCTTAAAGTGATCCTTTAATTGACTTCTAACATAAAAATGAGTATTTTGGAAGATAAACCTTGTATCATAGAAATGGCAAAAAGACCATACCTATATTTCCTTCAGGTTCTGGGAGGTGTTGGGAGTTTTCGGAGATTACAGGCCACAGCATTGTTGGCGGGGACCCCAGAGCAGCCAGCACGGTTGAAGGCAGGAAACCTGGCCCTTGCCCTGTGATCCTGCACACTCAGTAGCCTCACTATAATCATTGGCTTTGTGAGCCATCAGTGCCACCACTGGACCATCCTCTGACTACCACTGGAAAGGCAGGAGTTTTTGGTGGGTACACTTGCTCCAATACATCCCAAGGCTTTTGTATTTAAGAACTGAGTATCTGTAAACAATCCTGAGGGAGCTAGAGTCAGCCAGCCTATCTCGGGGTGTGCCAGGCACACAGGTGGGTCTGTAGCTTAATTGTGGCCTCGTGGCTGTCTAGGTGACTCAAAAATGGTGTTTGGAAAGGAAAAAAAAAAAGTTCTTGTTTAATTTCCATTAAGCACTGTAGTGTCAGTGACATAGATAAGGAAGAGAATCAAACTACCAGGTGTCATACATAAGGAAGAGAGTCAACACTACCAGGGCTAGGTAAATAGAAAAGGTTGCACATCCAATTGAGGCATAGCTTTATTTTGCATTTGTATTTAGCTCATGTAACCAGTATGAATAGTGTCTCCAAAGTCCAGTAGTGCTCACTAGGCCCAAAGGCTTACAACAACCCTCATCTGCTTTGTGCTTTAAGAAACAGCAGCAATACACTTTGTCAGCCAGAGTCTCTGACATGGCTTCTTCAGCCTTACCTTGCTTCCCAACGTCTATATTAAGCAATTAACATTTTTTTAGAAGGCAAATAAGGGAGAGGAGAAATGAAAAGATGTTGCAAGGCTGAGGAACAAAGTACTCAAGAACAAAAATATTTTGAGAGCAGTATTTAATATGTTAAAGCTTGTAAGAATGTTTTTAAAAGTTAACATTATGATCTGCTTCCAAGTCTTAAAATGAAGCTACTACATTTTCACCGTGGCAGGCAGGTTTTATCTCCATTTGATATTTTGTGGAAAAACGTTTTGTGTAGGTTACAGTCAGTGGTACTTTGCGCTTCGGCACTGGTGACAGCTGGGGAGCACTCAGCTCTACGGGGGCCAGCCTAGCCTGCTAACTTATCAGGGAGTTGGTGGAGACTTGGAATGCCTCACCATTTGCATTCCCTGATCCTTTGATCAGAGATGGTGCTGGGATCCCTGGCTTTTCCACCCAGTTCCCTGTTGTTGTTGTTGTTATATGCCGTTGAGTCAAACCTGACTCATAGCGACCCCTCCTTGGGTTTCCGAGGCAGTATCACTACTGCCCAACCTTCCTTCCGAGGAGTGGCTGGTGGGTTTGAACCACCAGCCGTCTGGTTAGCAGGCAAGTGTCTTAGCCACTATGCTACCCAGTTCCCTGGTGGCCTTTAAACATGGTAGAGAACACAGCCCTCATTTCTAGAAGTGGATCATCCTTCCATGTAGCATAATGTGCTGCTAGGAGTTTTCTCATTCTGAGTCTTTGGACTTCATAACATTGGAATCATTTTTTCCATAATTTCCAACATTCCATAAATATTTGTCAAGGACAAAGAAAAGGAATGAGGATCCTTATTCTTTTCATATAAATAACTTTGTACACATGATTTCCTGCTTTCATTATGAAGAAACTAGCTCCCTTGTATGTTAACTCCAAAATTAAAAGATAGTGCACGTATAAGGGGTTAGATATATTTTGTAAAACTCTAATGCATTTGTATTTCAGTGCTGTTCTGAAGTTTACCTTTTTACTTAACATTAATTAAAGATATAGAAATTATATATTTAAATCATGTAAATGGGGGACACAACTTAGGGTTTTTTCCCAATCTTATTTTACATCAGCTTCTCAAACACACAGTATGCTGCTTAAAATTTTGTGTGTGTGTGTGCAATATAAACACTTGAACATTTCAGTCAGGTACTGAGCCAGAAAAGGTAACTGAAGCTTTCAAAAAGTTTCTGCTTAGAAGAAAGAAAAAAAAAAAAAAGTTTTAATATTAATAATTTATAGCTGGAAAATAGGATCAAGACTTCTGTGTTTCAGGCTCCTTGGTCATTGGATCCTAAATTTAGGAAGTATTTGATTAAAGAGTTGGTGAAGGTATTTAGTGGTGACAAAAAATGGTTTAAATATTTGTGATTAAAGGCTTTCCACAAACCTTTTCTAAGGAACTTTAGCTGTGGCATATGTTTTGATCAGAAAAGTAATTTCTCTTTGCTGTTGTAGTTTTATAATTTGTACTAGTTCTTGGTTTCTGGTGGGTTTTTTTAAGTGTTAAAATATAAATCACGTCTAATCATACTGAACTGTAAAACTTCTATATCTTTATTTTAAGAAAAAAGTTATAATAAAATTACCCTGTTTGTCCTGCATACAATTGTGCTTGACCTGTCTCTCTAGAAATACTCGGCAGATTGTCAGTGTCATTTCTGGCCTGCGTCACAGCTGCACAGCACTGCCAGCTTCATTTGATTAAGCAACCAGCACACAGAATGAACGAAAGGAACCGACACTCATTTAATCTCTTACTTTGGCACTGCTTACAGTGTGGTGTCTCAGCTTTGAAAGTGCTGACCCCTCAAGAAGAACTGATGTGGGGGTGTTAGCCCCTCAGCCTGTGTGGACTACTGAGTGCACGGTGCTGCACAAAGTACAAATAAACAGAGGCTGGTCCTGCGATAGTATCTCATCACATGCTTCACCAAAAAAATCCCCAGGCAGAGGACATTGTCCCAAGAGCAGCCCATTTTTCCACCTGGACGGTGCAGTGAGTTCAAGGGAGTTTGGGGCCGATCAAGGGAAAAGATAAGATGATGAGGTAGAAGCACTGCACAACAAGCTGTTTATTGGGGCTGATGCATTAATACCTCCGTGCAGGGGTGGGAAAAGTCCTCCACAGCAGGAC